CTGCTACAGATCCCAGGCATTCTGCTATGAATTATCCCGCTACCCTCAGGGCTTGTTTAGACGGGAGCGGTAGAAACAGGCGGTTAAATCGTGGTTTTACTGCCCCCCAAACACCCACAAAAATACAGAAATGCAGAAGGTGACAATATAACTGGACATAACATTTATAGGGAACGTGGATCCCGGGAATATCCGAATATTGATCCCGGGAATATCCGAATATTGATCCCGGGAATATCCGAATATTGATCCCGGGAATATCCGATTATTGATCCCGGGAATATCCGAATATTGATCCCGGGAATATCCGAATATTGATCCAGGGAATATCCGAATATTGATCCCGGGAATATCCGAATATTGATCCCGGGAATATCCGAATATTGATCCCGGGAATATCCGATTATTGATCCAGGGAATATCCGATTATTGATCCAGGGAATATCCGATTATTGATCCCGGGAATATCCGAATATTGATCCCGGGAATATCCGAATATTGATCCCGGGAATATCCGAATATTGATCCCGGGAATATCCGAATATTGATCCCGGGAATATCCGAATATTGATCCCGGGAATATCCGATTATTGATCCCGGGAATATCCGAATATTGATCCCGGGAATATCCGAATATTGATCCAGGGAATATCCGAATATTGATCCGGGAATATCCGAATATTGATCCCGGGAATATCCGAATATTGATCCCGGGAATATCCGATTATTGATCCAGGGAATATCCGATTATTGATCCAGGGAATATCCGATTATTGATCCAGGGAATATCCGATTATTGATCCCGGGAATATCCGAATATTGATCCCGGGAGTATCCGATTATTGATCCAGGAATATCCGATTATTGATCCAGGGAATGAATTTCTGATTATTGATCCCGGGAATATCCGAATATTGATCCCGGGAATATCCGAATATTGATCCAGGGAATATCCGAATATTGATCCCGGGAATATCCGAATATTGATCCAGGGAATATCCGAATATTGATCCAGGGAATATCCGAATATTGATCCAATATCCGAATATTGATCCAGGGGAATATCCGAATATTGATCCAGGGAATATCCGAATATTGATCCAGGGAATATCCGAATATTGATCCAGGGAATATCCGATATTATTGATCCCGGGAATATCCGAATTATTGATCCCGGGAATATCCGAATTATTGATCCGGGAATATCCGAATATTGATCCAGGGAATATCCGAATATTGATCCAGGGAATATCCGATTATTGATCCAGGGAATATCCGAATATTGATCCCGGGAATATCCGAATATTGATCCCGGGAATATCCGAATATTGATCCCGGGAATATATCCGAATATTGATCCCGGGAATATCCGAATATTGATCCCGGGAATATCCGAATATTGATCCCGGGAATATCCGATTATTGATCCCGGGAATATCCGAATATTGATCCCGGGAATATCCGAATATTGATCCAGGGAATATCCGAATATTGATCCCGGGAATATCCGAATATTGATCCCGGGAATATCCGAATATTGATCCCGGGAATATCCGATTATTGATCCAGGGAATATCCGATTATTGATCCCGGGAATATCCGAATATTGATCCCGGGAGTATCCGATTATTGATCCAGGGAATATCCGATTATTGATCCAGGGAATATCTGATTATTGATCCCGGGAATATCCGAATATTGATCCCGGGAATATCCGAATATTGATCCAGGGAATATCCGAATATTGATCCCGGGAATATCCGAATATTGATCCAGGGAATATCCGAATATTGATCCAGGGAATATCCGAATATTGATCCAGGGAATATCCGAATATTGATCCAGGGAATATCCGAATATTGATCCAGGGAATATCCGAATATCCAGGGATCCAGGGAATATCCGAATATTGATCCCGGGAATATCCGAATATTGATCCCGGGAATATCCGAATATTGATCCCGGGAATATCCGATTATTGATCCAGGGAATATCCGAATATTGATCCAGGGAATATCCGATTATTGATCCAGGGAATATCCGAATATTGATCCCGGGAATATCCGAATATTGATCCCAGGAATATCCGAATATTGATCCCGGGAATATCCGAATATTGATCCCGGGAATATCCGAATATTGATCCAGGGAATATCCGAATATTGATCCAGGGAATATCCGAATATTGATCCCGGGAATATCCGAATATTGATCCCGGGAAATATCCGAATATTGATCCCGGGAATATCCGAATATTGATCCAGGGAATATCCGAATATTGATCCAGGGAATATCCGATTGCCTCTCGGGGGTCAGGAAGGAATTGTTCCCCTGCAGGAGGAGATTGGATCGTGCTTTGCTGGGTTTTTGCCTTCCTCTGGATCTACTGTGGGTGGAGGATTGTAAGTTTTGTTTTATGGTGGAACTGGATGGACTTTTGTCTTTTTTCAGCCAGACTACATGCCAGGTACAGGGGGGGGGTACATGCCAGGTACAGGGGGGGGGTACATGCCAGGTACGAGGTGGGGGGGGGTACATGCATGTTGGGGTTCTTCCAATAAAGTGGGTTCGGTAATTAAGTGGCACCTCCGCTCTTCCACCTCAGCGATGGCACCCAGCGAACATCTACAACAAGCAACACAAGACTGCAGGTGACCTCATTTCCTCATTCAGATCTCCTTCCTCTCGGTAACTTGCACCCTCTACCTTCCCTCACAGTCGTGTCCTCTCCTCATACTCTGCTTCCTTCACCCCTCTTCTCCACCCCAAAATCTGTACCCATCACCCTCACTTCTGTCCTCCACTTATCACTGACCTCCATTCAGTGTCCTCCACCCCTCTCTGCCAATCACGAACACTAATAAACCCCCCAGGATGCCGAGACCCTCAAATAAATGGCACTCTGATATTACTTCCCTCAGCCTTCTGCTTCTCCTGACCTCTGGAGACCAAACTCTGGGCCTCCTTTATTTAACTGTAACGGACACCCCCATCACCCTGCGCCCTCCGGCAGCAGCCGCAACCCAACAATTTTGTTTCCATTCCTCTTCTTCCTGGAACCAGTCTACCCTTCTCCTCCCTGGATTGCCCGCTCTGTCTGCAACAGACTCACCTCTGTTCATGAGGAACTCCTTTCATCTACTTGGTGTCACTGAAACCTGTCCTCATGAATCCGACTCTGCTTCTCCTGCTTCCCTCTCCCATGGTGGCCTTCCCTCTAGATTCACACCTCCAGACCCCATAGACAGAAGGGAGGGGGAGGGGGAATCCTCCTATCCCCACAGAGCACCTTTCAGGTTCTTCATTCCCTCTCGGTCCCTCTCATCATTGAAGCTCACTGAAAACGTTTATTTTCTCCAATTTCTTTAAGAATTTCTGTGATCTACCGACTTCCTGGACCGATATCAACTTTCCTTGATGACGTCTCTGCCTGGCTACCCTACTTTCTCTCTTCTGAAATCCCCACAACCATTCTCGGTGATTTAGACGTCTGCTACTTCTGACCTCCTTAGTCTAACCTCCTCATTTGACGTGAAGCAATGGACACACAATGGGAACATGCTTCTTCTCACTCCAATGGCAACACCCTTGACCTGGTAATCTCCTAGCTATGCTCTCCATCCAAGCCCTCCAACAATCCTCTCCCACTCTCTGATCACCACCTTATCAGCTTCGCTCTCTAGTTGTCCTAACTGCCTCTCCCCCCAACTGCCTACGAATGACCTGTAGAGACCTTCAACCCTTCTCCACTCCACTACTGGCCACCTCCATGACCAAATCTCACCCCTGTCCTGCCCCAATCTGGCCACTGCTGACTACAACAGATCCCGGTCCTCCTCCCTGGACAAACCCACCCCCCTCACTACATATAGAATCAGGTGCAACCCCCACAACCCTGGCGAACAGATGACACCAGAAGTCTCAAAAAACATGGCCGAGCTCTCAAGCGTCTGTGACGGAAGACGAAGTCTCACAAAGACTTCCACCAATATAAATCTGTCGTCCAGAAATACATCTCTCTCCCTCCACACTGCCAACAGACCTAGAATATCACCCTTCTCCTCCAGATCCCATCAACTCTTCTCTACTTCGTCCTCCACGGCCTCCACCCCCAACTCAGTCACTGGCCAGGAGATCGCCAATCACTTCAAAAATAAGTTCGATGCAATTTGTGATGAAATCTCCACTTTACAGATATCCCCCCCCCCCCCCACACTTACTACCCCCAATCTACAGGTACGCTCAACACCACCCGTGTTCAACCCTACTACTATAGACGAGGCTCCTAAACCTCAAATGCCCACCTAACCACGTGCCCCCTGGACCCTCTCAAATACTGCCTCAACCTCCACAACATCTCCAGAATACGCCCCTTCCTAACCAATGACACACACAATTCACTCCCTGGTCATCTCCCGCCTCGACTACTGCAACTTCCTCCTCATTGGATGAGCTTTACATAGGCCACCCCCCCTCCAGTCCATCATGAATGCTGCTGCCAGACTCCTTACCAACCGTTCAGTGTCCTCCTCCCCTCTCTGCCAATCCCTGCACTGGCCTCCAATCAGTGTCCTCCACCCCTCTCTGCCAATCCCTGCACTGGCCTCCATTCCATTCAGTGTCCTCCACCCCTCTCTGCCAATCCCTCCACTGGCCTCCACTCAGTGTCCTCCACCCCCTCTCTGCCAGTCTATTCACTGGCCTCCATTCAGTGTCCTCCACCCTCTCTGCCAATCCCTCCACTGGCCTCCATTCAGTGTCCTCCACCCCTCTCTGCCAATCCCTCCATTGGCCTCCATTGAGTGTCCTCCACCCCTCTCTGCCAATCCCTCCACTGGCCTCCATTCAGTGTTCTCCACCCCTCTCTGCCAATCCCTCCACTGGCCTCCATTCAGTGTTCTCCACCCCTCTCTGCCAATCCCTCCACTGGCCTCCATCCCTCTCTGCCAATCCCTCCACTGACCTCCATTCAGTGTCCTCCACCCCTCTCTGCCAATCCCTCCACTGGCCTCCATTCAGTGTCCTCCACCCCTCTCTGCCAATCCCTCCACTGGCCTCCATTCAGTGTCCTCCACCCATCTCTGCCAGTCTATTCACTGGCCTCCATTCAGTGTCCTCCACCCCTCTCTGCCAATCCCTCCACTGGCCTCCATTCAGTGTCCTCCACCCCTCTCTGCCAATCCCTCCACTGGCCTCCATTCAGTGTTCTCCACCCCTCTCTGCCAATCCCTCCATTGGCCTCCATTGAGTGTCCTCCACCCCTCTCTGCCAATCCCTCCACTGGCCTCCATTCAGTGTTCTCCACCCCTCTCTGCCAATCCCTCCACTGACCTCCATCCCTCTCTGCCAATCCCTCCACTGACCTCCATTCAGTGTCCTCCACCCCTCTCTGCCAATCCTTCCACTGGCCTCCATTCAGTGTCCTCCACCCCTCTCTGCCAATCCCTCCACTGGCCTTCATTCAGTGTCCTCCACCCCTCCCTGCCAATCCTTCCACTCGTCTCCATTCAGTGTCCTCCACCCCTCCCTGCCAATCCCTCCACTGGCCTTCATTCAGTGTCCTCCACTCCTCTCTGCCAATCCCTCCACTGGCCTCCATTCAGTGTCCTCCACCCCTCTCTGCCAATCCCTCCACTCACCCAACTAATTAAATTCAAAATACTAACAACTTACAAAGCCATCCACAACTCTGCCCCCCCCCCCCCCCCGGACTTTGGGAAGGTAAATGAAAAAGTAAAGGGGCTAGGGTCTGAGTACCGACACCATGAAGGGTCAGGGTGGGAGTACCGACACCATGAAGGGTCAGGGTCTGAGTACCGACACCATGAAGGGTCAGGGTGGGAGTACCGACACCATGAAGGGTCAGGGTGGGAGTACCGACACCATGAAGGGTCAGGGTGGGAGTACCGACACCATGAAGGGTCAGGGTGGGAGTACCGACACCATGAAGGGTCAGGGTGGGAGTACCGACACCATGAAGGGTCAGGGTGGGAGTACGGATGACATGAAGGGTCAGGGTGGGAGTACGGATGACATGAAGGGTCAGGGTGGGAGTACGGATGCCATGAAGGGTCAGGGTGGGAGTACGGATGACATGAAGGGTCAGGGTGGGAGTACGGATGCCATGAAGGGTCAGGGTGGGACACCAATGAAGGGCCATGAAGGGTCAGGGTAGGAGTACCAATGCCATGAAAGGTCAGGGTGGGAGTACCAATGCCATGAAAGGTCAGGGTGGGAGTACCGATGCCATGAAGGGTCAGGGTGGGCGCACCGATGCCATGAAGGGTCAGGGTGGGCGCACCGATGCCATGAAGGGTCAGGGTGGGCGCACCGATGCCATGAAGGGTCAGGGTGGGCGCACCGATGCCATGAAGGGTCAGGGTGGGAGTACCGATGCCATGAAGGGTCAGGGTGGGAGTACGGATGCCATGAAGGGTCAGGGTGGGAGTACGGATGCCATGAAGGGTCAGGGTGGGAGTACGGATGCCATGAAGGGTCAGGGTGGGAGTACGGATGCCATGAAGGGTCAGGGTGGGAGTACGGATGCCATGAAGGGTCAGGGTGGGAGTACGGATGCCATGAAGGGTCAGGGTGGGAGTACGGATGACATGAAGGGTCAGGGTGGGAGTACGGATGACATGAAGGGTCAGGGTGGGAGTACGGATGCCATGAAGGGTCAGGGTGGGAGTACGGATGCCATGAAGGGTCAGGGTGGGAGTACCGATGACATGAAGGGGTCAGGGGGAGTACGGATGCCATGAAGGGTCAGGGTGGGAGTACCGATGCCATGAAGGGTCAGGGTGGGAGTACGGATGCCATGAAGGGTCAGGGTGGGAGTACGGATGCCATGAAGGGTCAGGGTGGGAGTACGGATGCCATGAAGGGTCAGGGTGGGAGTACGGATGCCATGAAGGGTCAGGGTGGGAGTACCGACGCCATGAAGGGTCAGGGTGGGAGTACCGATGCCATGAAGGGTCAGGGTGGGAGTACCGATGCCATGAAGGGTCAGGGTGGGAGTACGGATGCCATGAAGGGTCAGGGTGGGAGTACGGATGCCATGAAGGGTCAGGGTGGGAGTACGGATGCCATGAAGGGTCAGGGTGGGAGTACCGACACCATGAAGGGTCAGGGTGGGAGTACGGACGCCATGAAGGGTCAGGGTGGGAGTACGGATGCCATGAAGGGTCAGGGTGGGAGTACGGATGCCATGAAGGGTCAGGGTGGGAGTACGGATGCCATGAAGGGTCAGGGTGGGAGTACCTGATCTCGGAGGACAGGCTGCTCCCGCGTAGAGGAAATGGCATGAAGGTCAGAGGTGGTTTCTTCTTCTCGGGTTGCTCTTTCGGCCCTTTCTCTGATTTGGCCCTGTAATGACATAGGAGCGATAATAATTCCATAGCGTTCCATTATGGCCGCCATGATAGACACATAGATGCTGCCACTGATGACTTGTTCCTGATGTTACTAATCCTCTGACTGCCATACTCATCCTCCATCTCCAGTTCTTAGTGACTCACTCTCCGAGAAGAAGAATCTGGATGTTGTGTCTTCTACACGTCTTCCAGGTCAGTGACTGATCAAGTAATGAAGACAGAGGATGAGCATGTCAATGGGGAACATCTAAAACAAAGTCCACAGATTTGGAGACCTGGAATAGACAGCGGCTATCAGAACCGGATACCAAGTAATAGTTGGTAGGTGATTGGCTGACACCAGGTCACCTGAACACGGTACCTGGTCTCTCCGATTGGATGAGAGTGACTTGGTCTTTTAAAGCATCCAGAGCCAGTTGGTTCTTCTCTTCTTGGGCCTTCAGCTCCAGCAGCATCTGCTCTATATGGCTGGTGGAAGTGCCGGAGCTGGCCACCTCGGCGAGGCGGTGTCGGATCTCTGTGTGGGGGAGGAAGGCGGATTATTCTGTATTCATCGACAGGCAGACAGGACACGTCATCTTCTACTGTAATAAAGAATCGTTCCCACCACCATCCTAACCTCGGCCATGAGGAAAGGTCTCCGAGATTGGACCTTCACCCTGATTACACGTTGCCTTGCATCCTAGGCTCCTCCCACAAATCGGGCTTTTGTCCTTTGTCTACATTTTGTTTTCAACTAAAGTTCTGCCCCCCCCCCCCATGCATGTCATTCACCTAGGATGGCGATGGACTTGCCCTGTGCCCCCCCTGGCTCCTGGGACGTGTACATCACATATCCCAGAAGGCTTAGACTTTCACTGAGAAGAGAGGAGGGGGGGGAGGGGCGAGACATGTCATGGGAGAGCTGAACACGGAAGAACCCGGCAGCTTCCTGGTGACATCACAAAAGAAAATGGCGGCACCGGAGTGATTGGGGGCAGAAGAGAAGTGGAGGTCAGTAGGACAACGCTGGATCTGCTGGGCAGGTGACCACCTCAACAGTGCAGGACTACCAACAAGGTAAACGGGGGGTAACATTAAAAAAAAAAAAAAAAAAGGAAGGGGGGGGGGGGTGACATTGTGAAGATCCGCTTACAGTTTGAAATCTGCTGAGTCAATAGAGAGTAAACAATAACTTGACCTTCTGACATATTTGGCCCATGTCAGGCATGATAATGGAGGGCCACATAAGATACGGAGTCAGGAAATATCTTCATCACAGAAACTGATGGAAGTAGAAGGGTTACCCCCACGTGGGAGGGGCTGAGAAACCAAACAATAAGTCACCTGCATGGATGGGAAGCCGAGGAGGACGAAATCTACACTAGGAGTGAGCCAGATCCAAAGACTACCTTCCTTCCAATGCTGACTACCTGGAGTCCTGATCATGGAGGGAATGGTGGACCAGCTATAACAGGAGCCGAGTGACTCCCAGTGTTCCCGTACTGCCTGCATACTGTGTGCATTCATGGAGGAAGGCTGTCAGTGTGAGCGTGTGTATGTGTGTACATGTATATGTATGTATGTATGTATGTATATATGTGTGTATATGTATGTATGTATGTGTGTATGTATATATGTGCATGTATGTATGTGTGTGTGTGTGTGTGTGTGTATGTATATATGTGCATGTATGTATGTGTGTATGTATATATATGTGTGTATATGTATGTATGTATTGTGTATGTATGTATGTATGTATGTATATATGTGTGTATATGTATGTATGTGTGTATGTATGTATGTATATATGTGTGTATGTGTGTGTGTATGTATATATGTGCATGTATGTATGTATGTACAGTTGCAAGAAAAAAAGTATGTGAACACCTTGGGATTCCGTGGAGTTTTGCATGAATTGGGCATAAAATGTGCTCTGAACATCATTTAAGTCACAACAATAGAAGAACACAGTCTCCTGAACATAATTTTACACAAACATTAGATGTTGCCATGGTTTCATTGCACATAACATGTAAACATTCACAGTGCAGGGAGGAAAAAGTATGTGAGGCCCTAGCTTAATGACTTCTCCCAGAGCTAATTAGAGCCAGGAGTGAGCCAACCTTGACTCCAATCAGTGGGATGATATTGGATGTGTTGCTGACACCTGTTTTGGGTTCACTGGTTTCAAGAAGCACTGTCTGATGTGAACCATGCCTCGCAGAAAAGAGCTCTCAGAAGACCTACCATCAAGAATTGTTGACTTGCATGAAGCTGGAAAGGGTTACAAAAGTATCTCCTTGAGCCTTGATGTTCCTGTGTCCACGGTAAGACAGACTGTCTACAAATGGAGAAAGTTTAGCACTGTTGCTACTCTCCCTAGGCGTGGTCGTCCTGTAAAAATGACTGCAAGAGCACAGCGCAGAATGCTGCATGAGGTAAAGAAGAATCCCAGAGTGTCAGCTAAACACCTACAGAAATCTCTGGCACATGCTAACATTTTTGTTGACACGTCTACAATAAGGAAAACATGAAACAAGAATGGAGTACATGGGAGGACACCACGGAGGAAGCCATTGCTGGCCAAAAAGAAGATTGCAGCACGTTTGAAGTTTGCAAAAGAGCACCTGGATGTTCCACAGCACTACTGGCAGAATATACTGTGGACAGATGAAACCAAGATTGAGTTGTTTGGGAAGAACACACAACACTATGTGTGGAGAAAAGGCACAGCACACCAACATCAAAAACCTCATCCCCACTGTGAAACATGGCGGAGGGAGCATCATGGTTTGGGGCTGCTTTGCTGCCTCAGGGCCTGGATGGATTGTTGTCATTGATGGGAAAATGAATTCCAGAGTTTATCAAGACATTTTGCAGGAAAACGTACGACCATCTGTCACCAACTGAAGCTCCGCAGAGGATGGGTGATGCAACAGGACAATGATGACCCAAAGCATACAAGTCATTCAACAAAACAATGGCTGCAACAGCACAGAATACGCCTTCTGGAGTGGCCCAGTCAGAGTCCTGACCTCAACCCCATTTGAAATGCTGTGGCATGACCTTAAGAGAGCGATTCACACCAGACATCCCAAGAATATTGCTACACTGAAACAGTTTTGTAGGTGTGTCCAAAATGACTCCATGATGGTTGTGCAGGTCTGATCTGCAACTACAGGAAACGTTTGGTTGAGGTTATTGTGCCAAAGGAGGGTCAACCAGTTATTAAGTCCAAAGGTTCACATACTTTTTCCTCCCTGCACTGTGAATGTTTACATGT